ACCGTCCAATACTAGTTCTCAGATAGGAGATGGGAGCAAAGGACTTTTTTGTTTACTGCTGTTATCTGAATTTACTCCGTAGTGCGTCTTTCTTCCATCGACCCTCCACCCCCCACCCCCCACCCCCAAACAATGGAAGAAAAAGCTTAGTGCCTTTGGCACAGTTCTACTGCTCGGTTGAGATTTTAATCATTTCTTTTCAACTCAAACTGCCAGTTTAAGGTTAGCCTGCCTTCAGAATGTTGTTTTCCTTGGCATTTAAGTTTGACCATTTCTTCCTTCCAGGACAACACAATACTTTCTTTCTCTAGAAAAGAAAGGGTAAATTTGTCCTTTCAGCAAACAGTGGGGGTGGATGAAGAGAATATCCAAACCCACCATTCCACCAGTTCTCTCTCTCTCTCTCTCTCTCTCTCTCTCTCTCTCTCTCTCTCTCTCTCTCTCTGCCCTTTGATGGCACAACTTACAATACAATACAATACAATAGCAGAGTTGGAAGGGAACTTGGAGGTCTTCTAGTCCAACCCCCTGCCTAGGCAGGAAACCCTATACCGTTTCAGACAAATGGCTATCCAACATTTTCTTAAAGACTTCCAGTGTTGGGGCATTCACAACTTCTGGAGGCAAGCTGTTCCACTGATTCATTGTTGTAACTGTCATGAAATTTCTCCTCGGTTCTAAATTGTTTCTCTCTTTGATTAGTTTCCACCCATTGCTTCTTGTTCTACACTCAGGTGTCTTGGAAAATAGCTTGACTCCCTCTTCTTTGTGGCAACCCCTGAGATATTGGAACACTGCTATCATGTCTCCCCTAGTCCTTCTTTCTATTAAACTAGACAAACCCAGTTCCTGCAACTGTTCTTCATATGTTTTAGTCTCCAGTCCCCTAATCATCTTTGTTGCTCTTCTCTGCACTCTTTCTAGAGTCACCACATCTTTTCTACATCGTGGCGACCAAAACTGAATGCAGTATTCCAAGTGTGGCCTTACCAAGGCCTTATAAAGTGGTATTAACACTTCACGTGATCTTGATTCTATCCCTTTGTTTATGCAGCCTAGAACTGTGTTGGCTTCTCCTGGGTTCTTCAAAACAGCCATCTAACTTTTTTAAAAAAATTCTGTTTCTATAATCAAGTCACAGAGTGATTGTCTGGAAATGAGAGTAAAGATAATATTTATAACACTGTTAAGGTCAATTGAACATAGGAGCATTGTGTGTCTTATTTATTGATTTGATTTGTTACGATGTGGTATGTGATTGATTTGATTTGACGTGATTTTTATAGCCACCCATCTCAGCAACTACCCTATTTCGATGTGCTTAGTCTAAAATGGAGTCAGCCCATTCTGAGCAGGTTTGCACATTTGGCTTTGAGTACATGCTGTGATAACTGTATTTGTTTATTTATTTGTTTTATTTATTCCTCACATTTATATACCATGTTTTCCTGAAAATAGGACCTAACCAAACAATAAGCCCTAGCATGATTTTTCCAGATGGTCTCAATATAAGCCCTCTCCTAAAAATAAGCCCCAGTTAAGATCAGCCGCCAGATGGGCGCATTTTTTACTGTGCCCAAAAATAAGTCCTAACTGGAAAATAAGGCCTAATGCGTCTTCTTGGACCAAAAATTAATCTAAGACCCAGTCTTATTTTCAGGGAAACAAAGTAGTTGCCATCTCACAAACGTGTCTCTGGGAAGCATGTCATAGAACTCAAAAATAAAAAGGAAGCATTTTTTTAAAAAATCCATGATAATAGAATCAACATTATTAAAAAAAGAATCTAGGAAATAGCATCTTGGATGTTTCAAGCAACAGATTTCCTTTGTGGGAAATGATTCTCTTAGGTTATTAAAGAGGGTTTTCCTGCTCAGAGAATGCTGCTGTAATGAGTTGCACCCATTTCCCAGAAGTCGAATTGGTGAAAATGCGCCGCCTTTCCCCATTTAACTTCCTAGCATGCTTTCTGCCTTCTCCTAACGAGGTTGATGATGGTATCTTGAGGTAGAGGCCATTGTTTTATTTTTAAGCATGGCAGCCTCCCACTTATTTTTTTTTTAATTTCAAGACAGGGAAGGCAAAGGGTTTGATAGGTGTTGTGGTCCGCTGGCAGCAGAGTTGGACAGTGAGGAGGTTGGGGAGGAACATGGGCCAGTCCTGGGGGCTGAGGAAAGCTCAGATGAGGGCTCTGCATCGAAGGCAGAGAGGGAGCTAGACAGCAGTGAGGCAGAAGAACAGCTGGAGCCTGTTCCCAGTATGCACATGTACAGAGCTGCCCGAAGACAAGAACAACTAAGAAAGCAGGGTCGACTCAAGAGTAAAACCACACCTGGGAGGTGATTGGCCTCTCCCATAGGAAACAAAACAGGAACGAACGGGGAGTGGACTTTTGCAGGAAACATTCATTCATTCAGTCTGGAAAGTTCTGTTTGCGAGAAACTCTGTGCCAAGTTTTGCTTTACTCTGTGTTTTGACACTAGTTATCTGGCAGCACTCCATACGAGATAAGGTGCATGTAGATAAGCATTCCCTTTGAAATATTGTTTGATAAGCCTTGCTGACTGTGAATGAAAGGAGTTCGCAGTCATGTAAATAAAAGGAGTTTTGTTGGGACTAAGACTTTGCTTCTGCTTTCTAAGGAAGCCTGGGTCAGAACAGCAGGGAGAAAGAGGAGGGGGTGTCTGCTCACCCATTGGTGCCTACAGGTGCCATGGAGATGCTGGGACTGAGCATGAGCTCCAAAATGCCTTGTAGAAAGGGAGTTATGATGGCATAAAGACAGAGGTCCTGGTGTTTGTGAAAACAGATCAAAAGATACAAGGTAGAGAAGAAAACATGCCAGTCTTTTTTGAAGGAAGATGCATTTCTCCTGGCCCTCTTGAAGTTTTGGGGGCTTTGATAACTGATAGACAATTGGCCTTTTCTTTTCAACCTGTTGTGGCCAGCCAGTAGCTATTGGAGCTGGCAGTATATTCGGACAATGAGGAGGTTGCGCGGGGAACAGGACATGGACTAGTCCTGGAGTCTGGGGAAGGCTCGGACGAGGGCTCTGTGTCAGAGGCAGAGAGTGGGACAGAGCCGTATGCCAGTTATCAGCTGCCTTCAGAGTCAGACATCAGTGAGGCAGAATAACAGCTGGAGCCTGTTCCCAGTGTGCGGATGTGCAGAGTTGCCAGATGAATGGAACAGCTAAAGAAGAGGGGTCAACTTGAAGTAAGGCCACAGGTGGACGATGAATGGCCCCTCCCAGAAGAAATAAAAGAGGAGCGAAAGGGGAGTGGAGTTTGCAGGAGTCAATTAGTTCGCTTAATTGATTCGTGACTCTCCGAGATTCCTTGCCAAGTTTTGCAGATATCGGCCTGGCAGCTCTCCAAGCCAGATAAGGTCTGTGACTGTAAATCCTCCCTTGAAAGACTTCGCTGGATGTGAGCGAGCAGAATTCACAGTAAATTAATAAAAGGGGTTTTTGTCGGGACAAGGAGTTTGCTTCATGCTCTTGGGAAGCCTCGGTCAGAATACNAAAGACGCTGCTGCGCACACATGTTATTAAAGTCAATTCCATGATCATGTGCAGATCAAGGGTAGTCCTTGATTTACAACAGCCCAAAACTGTTAAGTGAGACATTTGTTAAGTGAGTTTTGCCCCTTTTTACGACCTTTCTTGCCACAGTTAAGTGAATCACTGCAGTTAAGTTAGTAACCCACTTGTTAAGTGAATCTGGCCTCCCCATTGACTTTGCTTGTCAAAAGGTTGCAAAAGGTGATCACATGATCTTTGGACACAGCAATAAATATAAACCAATTGCAAAGTATCTGAAATTTTGCTCACATGATCATGGGGATACTATAAAAGTTGTAACTGAAAAAATCATAAGTCACTTTTTTCAATGCTGTTGGAACTCTGAACAGTCACTGAGTGAACTGTTATAAGTTGAAGACTACCTGTATTCCTCTGAAACTAGTTCTGTTTTTGTTTACATATTTGGCACTATGCACTTAGTTGGATTTATTTTGTAGCAATGATTTGTATAAATTCAACTCTGAAGCTTCAGAGCAAGGGATATACCTTTTTCAGTGTTTGATCTATATTACTTTGGTTTCCAGTTTCTTTAGTAGAACTATTTTTATTCTTCATGCATCCCTATGAAGAATTGTACATTTTCTTTGTCATTTTTTCCATCTTGGAAACCAAAGATATTTTGAAAATGGAACAATTACTCAATTTCATTGTTTTGTCAACAAGATCCTTACTGTAATATGTGAAAGGAACATACTACAGTAAGGACCTCTCACAATATACAATTGCTGTATCATACATCAACAGAATACTAATTTGTGAATATAAATTTTCTAGAAAAAATACGTTAGAGTTTTTTTGGGCTTACCTTTTGGATTTAGTCTTGGAGTGATATAATCCAGAAAATAGATCCAATTCAAAAGTTAAATTAATGTTTAACTTGGACACAGTGTTTCCTAAAAAGGAAAGATTGGAGATGTGATAAACCATATTGGATCCAGCAGCGACTTCTTGAGGAGGAAGCAGACCACCTCCTTAGTGGAACCACCCTCCTCTCAAGGATGTATTTATCCTTGTATGTTACCTTTGTGTCAATTTTATGAAGCAGTGCATTTCTATACATTTAAAATTGTCTGTGAAAATAATTTGTGCAAAAAGTGTAAAAGAAATTATGAAAAAAATCATTCCACATCATGATCTACAAATTTTAAGTGGAAATTTATAGCCATTCTAAATGACATTTATTTTCATATCTTAATTCAGATAACAGAAGTAGATATGAGCTATGTGTTTCAGATTAACAGTCACCTGCTATAATGCTACATTGTATAATGTAGCCACTTTTTAACTAGTTTTCTCTTTAACTTTTACATAATATATCCAGTTTTAAGGTATTTTGCAACAATAGAAGACAGAAAGCCTGTTTGTTTTATGGAACAGATAGCATATTGAAACTGTTGTCCCTTCCCCCATTGCAGAGATATTCACCCTCATATTCTCCAAGGCAGCATTCACGTTCTCCAGGCCGACGGTCTGAATCTTCAGTGGAAAAATATTTGCGGGACGTAGTTGAAAACGACATTGACACAAGCTCACCAGCTGATAGTCTGAGCAATATGAACAGGTATGAGACAGTTTGGAAAATATATATCTGATGGATTACATTAGATGTCCCTCATTTTAGGACACATTCATATTTTTTTGTGAGGTTTATAGGCCACCTCAATCTTTTGCAACCAGGGTAATTTAAAAACTACAATAAAACACTGTAAAAACAAAGATTTGTGTCATTAAAATTGCAAGTGGTATAATATATGAAAGATTCCAAGTAATGTCTCAAAATTGAAGGAGGGGTAAGATAAGAATCCTTAAATGCTTTGATTGTTAGCTATGTTCAATTCTCTTTAACAGTTGCAGCAGTAATGCTGAATATTAAATTATCTAACATGGCAAAATTCTCTAATTTAACAGCTTGACTTATATACACTAACTTATCTTGTTTCAGGTAGTTCTAGATCTTCTTTTGGCATGTCATTTTCTGTTCATTTCTACATAAATCTGTAGTGCATTTCAGTGCATGTTTAAGAAGCAAAGTCCAGAAGATGCAAATACAGTTTAATCTTTAAGTTTACACACTAGGATAAAAATAGGTATACTGTTTGATTTCAAAGTATATTTTTCTTTGCAATCCCTGATTTCTTTATAGAATTTTATAAATCTTTATCTTATTTCTTTCTTTGTGCATTTTGATGACAAAGTATGCAGTTTATTTATAAATAATAATGCACTCTCTCCTGTTGTTAAGAAATTCGTGTAATAGTTTTTCATTTTTACAATAACCACTTAAGGTATTTTTCATGACTTAAAAGTTTGCATTCCTTATTAAGTTTAACTCTTTGATAGGAGGCAGTGAAATAACACCATGTTTCCCTGAAAATACAACCTACCCTGAAAACAAGCCCTAGCCCAATTTCCATACCTGCACCTAAAATAAGCCCTAGCCCCAAATAGTTAAGCCCCTGCCCACCATCTGGTTGTATGAGGTGGAGCAAGATGCAGCTGTAAAAATCAAGCTAGGGAAGTGGTGGGGTGAGGAGGACAAAATGAGACGGTGGGGGGGAGCTGCCCTATGCACCCCACGCTAGCTTACCTGAGATCTGCGCAGCCAGGCTATCAATGTCCTGACAATTGCCTGGCCTTATGGTGGTGGCTCCAGAAACTCTGTCCAAGACCCTGCGTGGCCACCGGCCCATTTCTCCTTGCTTGACGCCGTAATGGATCAGAAGGTTGAGTGATGCACATGGCGTCCTGAATGGGGCTACTGGAGCCGCCGCAAGACGACGCAATTGTCAGGATGTTAATGCAATACAATAGCAGAGTTGGAAGGGACCTTGGAGGTCTTCTAGTCCAACCCTCTGCCTAGGCAGGAAACCCTATACCATTTCAGACAAATGGCTATCCAACATCTTCTTAAAGACTTCCAGTGTTGGGGCATTCACAACTCTGGGGCAAGCTCTGTTCCACTGATTAATTTCTTTCTTTTTCCTTCCTTCCTTCTCTCCCTCCCTCCCTCCCTCCC